TAAAACAAAAAATTCCCTCGATTCTTTACCCAAAATAATTCATGGAGATTCAAAGAGTCATACCCTTACCTTTCTTTGAACAAATAAAGTCACACCATTGTCTTCTTAGACGCAAAACCAACATTTTTTACCAATAAAACCTATAGACATTGAGTACAAAATGTTCACTTGAACATGAACCTTCCTACCAGAATAAACAATATGGGGCATCTCGAAACAAACTTCTTAGGACGAGCCTTAGCAATTGAGGCGTGCTGGGAGCAAGAAACAGAAAGTAAAATTAATTCTAAATAATTCTATCATGCATTAATTACACTGTTTTCGTGTGAATAAAATTAATCTGAAAATCTATCTCCCTGGGGATACCTCTTCTGTGAAGACTTTTGTGTATGAGATGATGAACGACTTTGTTTCATTTATCCATATATGTATATATATATATATATCCTTTGTTGTGCCCTTTTGAGCCTATAGTATTTTTTTCTCTGATTCAACCCTAATCAAGGATCACCCTCCACACTGGGGGCAAAGTGGAGGAAATCTGCTCGCATGAGTGAATACATCAAATCAGAGGAGATACTAAAAGGTGAACTAAATGCCAAGTGCAAAGATCAAATCAAAGCAGAAAGAAACACAAAGAACAAAATCAAAAAAAGCAAAGAGAAAATAAACAAAGAAAAAGGAACATGAAGCACATGCAAAGATTCTCTCGAATCAAATGGCACATCAAGCTTCAAACTATGAGATTGATCAAGCACAATTATTCCAGAATCACTTCACTCGAAGATCATAGAGCATCAAAAAAGAGACACATAAGAACATATTCAAATTGAGCAAAACATAATTGAAGGCATCAGAATAAATTGATCCTTGATTCAATACCCTTAAACACTTGTTTGGGCCTACTTATCCTTTCTTTTATAACCATGAACCATGACCTACATTACGTGCCTTAAAAAGTCCCTTCTAATCATACATGGATTTCTAAACAGAAGAGACTATCTTCATATTTCATTTCGCCCATTAGGATTAATCTTTATTTGCAAAAGATTTTCTAAAATCTTTAATGCATGATAGAGAAAAATAACAAAGGGGGGTTCAAGATGTAAATTTTGAATGACGTTTTGAAACCAAAGGAGGATTCGAGTTGAAAACTTGAAAAGGCAGCTCGAATATAAAAATGGTAATTGAGGCAACTGCACAAATTCTTTGATAAGGCATTGCACAATCCGAGTGTGACCATGAGAGCTGGGAGCCGGAGAACACTTCCAGTAGAGGAGCATACAAACTACCTCATCAAATCAGTGAACATCAAAGAAACAAGAAGGCCAAACCATTGACCAAAAATAAAAACCTGAGACATTTTATCATTTCCTCACCTAACTATTTCCCAAAGATAGCTTTGATCTTGACACTTGTCAAAAGCTATAATTTATTGAAGGATTAACAGTATCATTAATTCTTTAATATCCAATAAACTCTAGTTTTATGATTTATCTCAATTGTAAAACGTAGAAAGGGCAATATTTTTAAAACTTTTGATTAAACATTTTTCAAAACTCTTCTAATTGATATTTTCATAACTTTTGAAAATAAAAGAAGAAGAAAAACATTTTTCAAACAAGACAATCTCTCTAGAGTGGATCTTGGTATTTGACATGTGGTTCTCAGACATAAAGTTTATGCTTAGAATCAGTGCTGAAGCAATAGAGGGCATCTTTGAAGATTCAACATCAAATGTTAGGGCATCTTTGGAGATTCAACATAGAATATTACGGCATCTTTGGGGATTCAACATCCTGATGCGAATATTATATCTTCTAAAGGCATTTTCCTCCGCCAGCAGAACGAGCATACTATTGATCGCCTCTGAGATTGTTTCTCTCGAAACAAAGTGTCATCTCACTAGAGATAACTTTTCTTGAAAATCAAAATTTTGCCTCGCTTGAGAAAATTTCTATCAAAACAAAATTTGTCTCACTTGAGACAGATCTTCCTTAAGATACAAACATTTGATATTGTTTTTACTCAAAACAAATTTCATCTCGCTTGAGATAATTCCCTCGGAACACAAATTTCAAAGTTGTTTTACTTGAAATCTAATTCCTTTGAGGTTGTTTCTCTCGAAACAAATTTTGTCTCTGTTGAGATAGTTTCTCTTGAAACATAAAAACATTGAGATTGTTTCCCTTAAAATATATTTTGTCTCTTTTGAGACATTTTCCCTTGAAACATATTTTGTCTCACTTAAGTCGGTTTCTCTTAAAACAAATTTTGTCTCCCTCGATACAGTTTCTCTTGGAACAAATTTTGTCTCCCTCGAGACATTTTCTTATGAAACAACCAAACTTTGAGATGTTTCTTTTGACACAAATCTTATTTTCTTTGAGATCGTTTCTCATGAAACAACAACCAAACTTTGAGATGTTTCTCTTGAAACAAATCCTATTTTCTTTGAGATCGTTTCTCATGAAACAACAAAGATATTTGAGATCGTTTTCCTTGAAACGGATTTTGTCTCTTTTGAGACAGATTCTCTTGAAGCATTATCTGTGAGTTGGTTTCTTTTGAAATTATGTTATCATCCCTAAAGATGGCCTGCCATCCTCATCATATAGGAATCGTGTCATCCCTCAACCAGATCTCCTCATCACGTAGGAATCATGTCAACCTTAGATAACCAGTCGTCCTCATCACGTAGGAACCGTGTTATCATCCCTAATGATGGCCTGACGTCCTCATCACGTAGGAACTATGTCATCCCTCGACCAAATCTCCTCATCACGTAGGAGCCATGTCAACCTTAGATAACCAATCGTCCTCATCACGTAGTAATCGTGTTATCATCCCTAATGATGGTCCGTCATCCTCATCACGTAGGAACTATGTCATCCCTCGACCAGATCTCCTCATCACGTAGGAGCCGTGTCAACCTTAGATAACCAGCCGTCCTCATCATGTAGGAATCGTGTTATTATCCTTTGACGAACCGAACTCTTCATTACGTATGAGCAGTGTCGTCCTCCAAATCAAACACTATCAAGTCTCAAAACAAAACAAAAAAAGAGGACCGGACAAAAACTGGTTATCTTTTTCATCTTTGCCCTATTCTTGTTAACATAAGAATGTGCAAAGAGGGGCAGCTGTAGACATCGTTTTTTACAGGGCTTTAAAAATATTATAATTATATTATTATTATTATTATTATTATTATTATTATTATTATTATTATTATTATTATTTGTTATTATATATATTTCTACAGGCCCAATTTACAAGACCCGTTTACAGCCCAATACAATCCAACAATCTCACCCATGACCCAAATGGAGTCAACCCAACAACTCAGGAGTAGACCCAATGTAACAAACCGGGTCCAGGCCGAAGGCCCACCAACTGATCCGCCCCAGTTCACCTAACCCTAAACAATTGGATGTCAAAGTGCTCTGCCGCCGCTCCACTCATCCATGTTTTTTGCCATTCACAAGGAATAAAGTCATGGGATATTATATTCAAACACCGTTACACAACAAGTGTATATTTTTTTATTATATTAGATCTGTAAAATGGCTATAAAAAGCCGAATGAAAATGTTGATAAGGGGGGCTCTCTTGATTTTCTTTTCAATAAAAGTATAGCAGTTGAAACATATTTTCAGCATCTAAATCCAAAACCGAAAGCAAATATTTCAAGAGGAATCGAAACTTAGCTTGTGCCGGTGAATTCGTCGGGGAATAGAGGCGTTGGTCGGGGTATGTGTTGGCCACCAAACCGGTGGTCGGCGTTGACAGCCTTGGATCTTTAGGAACATGCCGCCGCTTGTGGAAGGAGAAAGGAAAATGCATTTTGATTTTCTTTGGTTCGTAGAGTTACTGGAATAATAAGGTTGGGTTTGTTTATTTTAGGTTTTGGGTAAATCACATGTTAACTCCTTATTTAGTAGCCTTTTGTGTTATGGTCGCTAATTTTGGTTTAATCCTATTTAGATCCCCTTTATTTCCCACGTGTTATGTTTAAGCTATTAGATTTAGGGTCAAATCACCCCTAAGTCCCCTAGTCTAGCTGTGTTTTCATCTTATGACCACTAGTTGTTTTTGTTTTTATTTTGGACTATATATTTTACTTAGTTTTAATTTAGTTATTAAACTGCTATGTTTTTATTTAAATTTAGTTACTGTCCTTCTAGTTTATGTTTATACTATTTTAATCCTTTAATTTTCTGTTTGTTCTATTTTGGTTTTTTTTCCTATTTAATCCCTTAAGTTTATGTTTTTCTCTTGCAGCTCATTTCTAGAATTAATTTGATCCATGAATTTTAATTCTTTCCAATTTAATATTTTTTTTAATTTGAATTTTCTTTCATTCCTTTTATTTTTTTTCGATCTTAATACTAACTCTTCATTTTTGTTGTTTTATTTTTTTTACTTTATTTATGATTTTTTAGGATAATTTTAATTGATCAAAAGGTAAATAATTATGATTAAATTTTTAAATTTTAATTTTTTCAATTAAGACAACAGATAAATTAAATGATACCGAAAGGGCAGTTCAAGGGTGCTAATCATTTATTGACTGTAACCGACTCCTGAGCCCGACATATTTATGGTAAAACGCAGATATGTAAGATGATATCTGATCAACCAAATTTTATACAAAAAATAAATGATCGATGGTAAATCTAATATTTTATTTAAGTCGAAGTCAAATTTTGAATCCACCCAAAAGACGATCGCGACAGAGATAACGATAAGAGAATCAGAAGATAGAAAAGTCTAATCAAAGTTGGACGCAGGTGGAAGAGGAAGCGTTGGAAGCTACCCTAGGTGGGAAAGAAAACATAGTGAAGAGGTTATGATGAAGGAAGTGGCAACAGGTCGGAGAGTAATAATTATTGGGAAGTAAAATTATGAACACACAGATATCGAAGAGCCAATGTCGGAGGAGGGAGTAAAACCTGTAAAGAACATTCTGATTATAATAGGAAGGATGTTAATGAAGAAATGAATAAGCATGGTTCGGTTCCTGCATCAGCTAACCACGTGGAACAGGTATCAGGGGAGAACAGTAATAATTCAGTGGAAGAGGTAGCAAGCAACGTCAGCTAGGGCAAAGGACGACATCCTAAGCATGGGGCTCAGGCCGAATCAGAAAGTGTTACGTGATTCAATGGGCATGAAAGATTTAATTGAAGTAGGGCCAGGCAAAAAGAAGTCAGATTGGGCTGCTAGCGTGGATAGACAAAACAACTCCAAGGATGAATAATCATGAACACTTCATTCAGTCTTGCTCGAAAGTGATGTGGATGGGGAAAAAGGTTTTTTTTTTGGGGGGGGGGGTGTTAGAGGGGCCGAAGAGTCGATTTTGACATTTGGTTTCGAAAGTTCGTGTTTTAGGGACTTGTAATCCGTCGCCGGAGTTGATACACGACGGTCGGAGATTCCATTTCTTGTAATCGCATTGCGATTTACGTAATCGCATTGCGATTTTCCTAATTCGCATTGCGATTTACGTAATCGCATTGCGATTTAGTAAATCGCATTGCGATTTAGTAAATCGCAACGAGATTCTGACTATCGCAATACTGAATTTCAAATTCGCAACTCGATTTCTGAATTCGCAACAGGTTTTAATTTCGCAACACAAATGTTTTGGGTATATAAATACGCAGCAGCAGCAACTCATAACCTAAATCCCTAAATCGCAACTCATTTCATCTCCATCTATCACTCTCTCCGGCGACATCCGTTCCTATATCCAACGAAATCCTTCCCCATCCGGCAACAGGTTTTAGTTTCGCAGCTCGTTTGTTTAGTAAATTAATTTACAATAATGAAATCATCTAATGTTGATCATGTTTGGATAGATTTGTGTTTTGGAGGGTCATGGGAGAATGTTCATGATGTTTTACAATATATGCCTTTACCCATGAATCTTCAACTAAAACTGTCATTAAAAAAGTTAACTTATGAAACTCTAATGTTACGTGTTGCAAATAAATTGAATTTAGAGCCCCTAAGTGGATTTAGGCTATCTTATAAGAGAAATGGTAAAGTTTATTTGTTAACCGACAATGAAGATGTTGAACGATTCATTGCTTACATTAGTGTTTCAAGTGATGATGTTACATTGTATGTTGTTGAACCTAGAAGTAGTGAAATTGGGTCAGTAGCGGGTAGTAATCAACTAAGTTTTTCAACCCCAGTTTATGGTGCTCAAAATTTAATGGTTCTACCACAATTTCAACACCAAGCAAACATTGTTTCACCACATTTCCAATACCAAACACAATCTCAAAACCCACAACCTTTCCCTAATCCAAATCTCAATCAACTTTCAGCACCAAATTCCGATTTTCGTATTGACCAGTTAGACGATGATGAGCCAACAAAAAAATTTGTGAGTACTAGTCAGTATTCGAAATTTGATCTTGGTCAATCCCCGGACTTTGATCTTGGTCAATACTCGGATTTTGATGATTTTTCAGAAGAATAAACAGACCCTGCGTGTAATGATTTTGATATTGGTCAATACCCGAATTTTGATGATGAAATAGCCGTTACCGAGGAAGATGTTGTTGATGATAATGAGGAGGAAGTTACGACTGTAAATGAACATGTTGAACATCCATTCTGTAATTCATATAACACTGAAGAAGAAAAAGAAGAAGAAGAAATCCCCAAAGAAAAGTCCCCGAAGAAAATGCCACGAGAGTATAACTGGAATATGCCAGAATTACTTCAGATACCGGAAGAAGAGTTGGTAAAGATAGTAGTTGATTGTCACACAAAAATTATTCGTATCAAGAAAGATGGTTGTTTTGATACAAAGGAAGACTTGAAGATAGCTTTGTATACGAAATGTGTGGAAGATGGCTATCAACTAAAAGTTAACAAATCAAGCAAAGATCGTTTCGAAACAAGGTGTATGATTGACAAAAACTGTATGTGACGTATGATTGCAAAGAGGATAAAAGATTGTGAAATGTTTCAAGTTAGGACTTTTATTGATAAACATACATGTTCAAGAACCCAATTTTTCCTCACCATAGACAGGTAAACAAAAAGGTGTTGGGTGGTTTTTTGGCTGAGTTAATGTTTTTGAATGGTAGGGTATATCGGGGACATGAAATTATGACTAACATGAATGCTCGGTTCAAGATTAGTATCATATTCTCAAGCTTGGAGAGCCAAATGTTATGCCTTGGAATTGTTGAGGGGGTCGCCATAAGCATCGTTTGCCCAACTGCCGGCTTATTGTCACAATTTAAAGCTGAAAAATCCAGGGTCGGTAACTCATATCAAAATAGATAGAGATAGACGCTTTGAGTTGCTGTTTATCGCCATTGGTGCTGCGGTTAGTAAATCAATATAATTTTGTTGACTCATTTTTGTTAGTTACATGCATTTCACATTTAAATGATTATATTTCTTGTGTATATGATTTTGTAGATTCGTTCGTTTATTAATTGCATGCGCCCAGTTATTATAGTTGACGGACCACATTTAAAAGGTCGATACCTTGGAGTAAACTTATTAGCAATAGCCATGGATGCTAACAATGGGATACTGCCAATAGCTTACGGGGTTGGAAAATCTGAAACCTCTGATTCATGGACATGGTTTATGGGGCATCTTAAGGATTGCATAGGTCCTATTAGCAATCTGACAATCATATCCGATAGGGCAAACTCAATTGACAACGCTGTTAGAAAGTGTTTCCCAGATTCTTTTCATGGACTTTGTGGTGTTCATTTGTATAGAAATCTAAAATCAAGGTCTGCTGGTATAAAAAATCACAAATGGACATACTGGAAGGCTGTAAAAGCTTATCGGGAAGTGGATTTTAATAAGCATATAAATTGTTTAAGACGTGTTTTGCCTCAGTGTGCTCAAACACTAGAAGATGTCGGGTTTGAAAGATGGTCAAGAGTACATCAACTTGGAGCAAGATATGGTTTCATGACGTCTAATAGTGCAGAATCAATCAACGATCTAAGTCGTCATTCCCGGAAATTACCCATTACTATGTTAATGGAGTTTTTTCGAGCCTCTATTCAACAATGGTACTACAAGAAAAGAAACCATGCAGGTATTATTTCTTTAAATTCGTAACTTATCATATATTTTACTAAGTATTATTTATTTAAATTTACAGGAACATTGGAACATCGTGTTACACCATGGACAGAAAAAAAGATATCGTAACGTGTTGTGAAGTCAACGTCATGGAGAGTTGAACCATGTTCAAACACTTTGTTTGAAGTACTGGATAATAACTTAAATGGGCTTGTCGATCTAAATGCAAAGACGTGTAGTTGTATGAAATGGCAAACATCTGGTTATCCGTGTGGCCATGTTATAAAAGTTTCTCTTCATCTAAACCAAGATGATTCAAGCACATACGCTATGGATTGCTACACTACAGAAGTATATCGACAGACTTATGGCGAGATTGTCTACCCTATTCCACATCCTTCTGAGTGGGACATACCAGATGACTTTCAAACAGTTTTGCCACCAGCCATGGACATAAGGCTACCTGGCCGACCAAAAAGTCACGATCGTATACCGTCTAAGGGTGAAGAGAAGAAGAGATCGACATGTAGTCGGTGCAAGGAAAGTGGTCATACAAGGTTGATATGTGGATCACCAGTGCCATCACAATCATCTTTTCCTCTACCAAAATATGGATCCTCATCAAAATCCAAAGCTCATATGGTGTCAAGCAAAAGGCAATCAAAATCGTAATCATCTTTAAAATCCCAATCACAACCGGCTTCACCTTTTGGGACTGTTAACTTAGGTGATTTTTAAATGCAAACGTTGAATTATGTGGATTTTATGTGTGAACTTTTAACATTTTCAGTTAGGCATGTATTAGTAACTTGAGCTTGAAAATTGCTATGATATGTTCAGTTGTTATCACTTATTAGGCATTCATTTGACTATCGCAACACGGAAATGACGTTCACAATCATCTTAATGTCTATCGCAACGCGGAAATGACTATCGCAATGCGAAATGAAAATCGCAAAGCGAAATGAAAATCGTAACGCGAATTTAGTTTCGCGTTGCGATTTTCATTTCGCATTGCGATAGTCATTTTTTGCCTTCAACATAATGCAAATTGAAATCAACAAAATCAACCATTACATTTCAATCAATTAAACAAGCACAAATAAGAATTATGTTCACATCAATTAAACAAATCAACTTTTACAAATCATCTTTTACAAATCAATTAAACAATCAAAAAATAAGCAATAATTCTTATTTCCTCATCTACTATTGAATCAACTTTTGCAGCCATACATCATTTTCACGCAGCTCACTTTTGAGATTAACCTGCAGAAACCAAACATTTGCTCAAACAACACTTTCTACACATCTAAAACCTACAAACAGCAAATTATTGAATTCTATGTACTTAACCAAACATTTTCAAACCAAAAGCCTATAAACTTATCAATTGTTTATGGACATTTTTATAACGCGGATGCAGGTAGGCAGCGTCTCGTATATATCGATCTAGCCATATAATGCTGAAACCACAAGCCTACTGCAGCTCTATCTCTATCGGTGGGAGGTAGATACTTTATACTTCCCTGTGATCAAACGCTCCAACACCAAGCATACGAGAGGACCACAATCCCCTCTGGGTCCTTTCGTTTGTTGTGGTGCGGTCTCGTCTCTGCTAACTGTAATATTGAGCTTCTTTGGCTTCTTGTTTCCAGAACGAGTCCAATAATTTATCGCATCTAAGAATTTAGCCAAATGAGAGCTCCATCCCTTAATAATATCTCTTAAATCAGCCAATGATATGTAATTTATCATGCTGTCATATACTATTGCCTTAAGGGATGGGAGCTGAAGCTCGACGAGAAGCCAATGTTTACGTCCCAAAACAGGGATAAACACCTGCAATCATAAGTAATAATTCATTCATTTGCGCACTTATTTATGAATACCTTTAAACTCAATCTAAAATAAATACTAACCTTATCGACCTCCCACCATGCAGGATAAAGTTTAGCTTGTCCATTGCCCAACGCAAATGATTCATCTCGTTGATTCTTCAAGTGAAC